TTTCGAGGGTGCGAAGCATAGCCTGAAGTGACGGACAGCCAGTGCTAATCAGTCTAGTGCCGCTTGATACGTTTGTGAGCTGTTACAGATTAGGGGAATATCATCAGCATACTCTAAACCAAGAAGTGGTTCTCCTGGGAGCAGATCTACACCTTCTAAGTCGTGTCTTGTAAACGCGATTTCCATGACTTCAATAGCGAAGTTAAAGAGGAAAGGTGACAGCAGGCATCCTTGTCTCACACCGCTGGAGATATTAAACGGCGGCGATAGCTTGCCGTAAACCTTCACTCTGCCAGAGCTACCTGCGTATAATGCTCGGATAATATTTACATATTTATGAAGTACACCTTTCCTGAGTAGACAGTCACAAGCTGCACATCTATCCACCGAATCAAATGCACCTTTGATATCGAGGAACACGACAACGGTGGGCCGCCGATATATGTGACGGTGCTCCAACAACTGACGTAATGTGAAGATGTGGCCAATGCAGGCACGACCTTGACAAAACCCGGCTTTCTCTTCACGAATAAGGCTTTCACGAGTGCCATTGAGATCAGCGGATAAGGGGAAGTCATCGCGTCGTAATCACCATGGCAAGGTTGAAGGTGAACAACACACTTCACCTACTATGCCGCAAGAAGAAAGGAACATTTTTACAAAAGTAGAACAAAACATTTTTCGTTTGCTTTTCACATGCCGATTTTTCCCTTTTTTGCCATTTTCAATGTTTGAAGTATTAAACATGTGAATCAATACAATTCTGTACACAAATCTTCCACTGACTCCGGTTGCGTGCCATGTCTTCAATAGTGTTAAGCAATTGGCACTCCTCATCTTTGGGTCCTATTCTGGAAGACGTAGGAGTCCAACAGCGCCTAGACACGACGTCCGCGATTTAATGTACTGTCGCCAAGTGGAAGGTTGACTCCCACGCGGTCGCCCAAGGCAGGCCCTTGACGAGCGAATAGAGCGCGACGAGATAGACGCTCAGGTGTCATGTGTAGGACGTGACCGAGCCATCTAAACTGGCGCAGCAAAACTAGTTTGTTGAAGGCAATACTCGCATTCTCAAAGATGCGACGTCGAACGTCAGTACTGTCAACTCGATGATGCCACCAAACACGAGCAATCTTCCTTAAGCAACCGCTGTCGAAGGAAGACGACGAGTGTCGTTTACGCGAATCAGCCAGGACTCGCTCCCATACAACAACACTGAGCGAATTGATGCGCTGTAAACGCGGCCCTTTAGCTAGAATGAGACGTCGTGACAACGCCACAAGTGCCCCAGATTAGCAAATAATGATCGAGCTTTAGCGATGTGAAGAGAAACTTGTTTGATGATAGTGCCGTCAGCAGAAACACAGCTCCTAAGGTAGACGAAACTATCTTCCTGTTCAATTTGAGCACCTTCGAGAGTGAGCACGGGAGCGGGTCTAGGCCAATCCTTGTGCTGTATTTTACAGTACGATGGGGCGAAGCTCATGCCGCACAGATGCCAAACGATCCAGAATGAGTTGCATACCTTGAGGATCGTCACCAAGTAAGGCGATATCATCAGCATAATCTAAATCGGCGCGCGCTCACTTGGTAGAAGCTCTAGGCCAAAAAGTTGGAAACCTTCCGGAGCATTCGACAGAACATCATCGGCTGCGAAGTTGAAGAGGAATGGGGACATAGGGTAGCCCTGTCGCACACCGCTAGTGACAGTGAATTGCGAGGAAAGCTTGCCGTAGACCCTGACTCTGCCGGAGGTATGAAGGTAAAGTGCTCGTAAGTTGACGGTATACTTCGCTAGCACCCCGTTCTTTAGCAAGCAACGCCACAAAGCAGGCCGATCAACGGATTCAAAAGCGGCACGTATATCTAGGAATGCAAACGCTAGTGAGCCTGTGATAAATGTGGCGATGTTCGAGGAGCTGGCGGAGCGTGAAGATTCGATCCACACATCCGCGGCCGGGACGGAAACCAGCTTGTTCTGCACGGTAGTATGATTCACGTATCGGGGATAGTCTGCGAAGCAAAATGGATGTCAATAGCTTGGAGGCAACCGAAACAAGATTAATCTATCGATGATTTACACATGAAGTGCGAGCGCCTTTCTTGAAAATCGGGAAAATAACTGAGGAGGGCACTTTCTCTTCATGCCAGATTTTTGCGAACAGCGAGGTCAGCTGGTTAATGATCGTCACACCGCCGTACTTCAACAGCTCCGGAGGAAGTCTGTCTGAGCCGGCAGCCTTGAGCCGCTTCAAGCGTCGAATCTCAAGGCAGACTTCCGCTTCGATGGGTGGATTCACTGGGACGAGCCAGGGTGGACAACAAGGTGTACTGCATGTACTGATGGATGATGGAGACCAGTTAAGTGCTCGGCCCAGCGGTCCATTCGCCTCTGTTGGTTGGTGACCGGAGACTAATCCATCTCGCAAACGACCTCACTGACACCATGTTTCCTGAGGCAAGTGGACTGAATGAGTGGGAAAATCATGCGAGTCTTGCCAGAGAGAGCAGCGATCTCCATCTCTAAAGCACGCTCAGACCACCACGCCTCGCGACCCTTGTGTATAATTTGCTTGAGCAGCCGGTTAGTAAAACGGTGCCGCTCGATGCAATCTGATTCCGCCGGGATATCTTTGCGGCGGTCGTACAGCTCCAGAGAACCTGAAGAGATGCAAGCCTTTAGAGGGCGTCCAGCTAGGCCGCAGAATGACTGTCCGGAAATGGTCATCGCTTTCCGAATACAACTCCATTGTTGCTCTACGTCTTGCGGTGGTTTGCAACTGAGTGCATATACCAATGAAGACTGATAGCTCGCATGGACAGAGGAATCAGTTAATCTTCTTACATCAATCTTGCGGTACTTCGTGTTTCAGGACCCCCCAAAACATATGCAGATTTTCGCGCAGACCAGTGCATGATCTGAGCCACCGAAGGTGGATCTAAAAGACCTGCAGTCCAGTACGCTGCCATGCCACCTGAAGCTAATTGCAATGTGATCAATTTGAGACCACGGTTGTGTTGAAGAAGGGGGACGCCACGTTGCGGAACGCTTCTTCGTACGCCTGAAAGTGCCCGATAGAAACAGATGGTTGTCTTCGCACAATGTGAGAAGCCTCTCACAGTTATCAGAGCGGTTCTCATCGAGCGCGTGGTGACCACCAAGGTGGCGTTCGTATGGTAACAGGCGGCCAACCGTGCATTGAAATCCCCAGCAAGGACAATTACATCCGACTTTTAGCATTAATCAAGAGCTGATGTAGATTCCGGTAGAATCCATCCTTGACCGAGCCGCCACGGCCGTCAGCTAGAGCGTACACGGTGATCACAAACAAGTTGGGTCTCTCTTCGCGGTGCTTGTTGAGTCTACATGAATCCCGAAGCCGAACTGCACACGGTCGGCTGTTAATCGGGAACCAGTACAGTACCGCCGCCTCGACCTTGCCGCTTAGTGCTATACCAACACCAGCTAAACCCGCTGAGGCTGCTTCTGAATCTCCAGAAAGACGCAGGTGATATCTGGCTTCGTGGTCAGTGGGGGGATGTAAATGTGAGCACAGTGCTGGGATCTTGCAATCGGGTTTCTGAAAGGCAGCAGACATCAATATCGAGGGACTCGGTTTGCTGTCCAATTTGCATGAGTATCCAAAAGTTGAAGCACGCCAGACGGAACGAGGATCAGGGACGAAGGAGAGCCATAGGTTGAACTCCCTGGTTTGCGGCGCAATCGGAATCGCAGCTAGATTGTTGAACACATGAATCGGGCAACGGAAAGTAAGGATTGTTAGCAAACAAACAATTGGCGCGTGATGAAGTCGCGTGAATGTGAGAGGCAGAAACGGTAGTCCGAGCCGAAGTAGAGAGTTGACTTAGGGGACCCAACCCCGAGTTTTTGACTAAATAATCTACCCGCAAGGCAGCGGGGCGAATTCAAGGAATCGAGCCCATTGGGAGGCGCTGACTGAATGTTCAGTTCATGCGTTTTTCGTTTGGTAGATCAACAAACAGGAGCCCAACACTCCCCATGAAATCAGCACAATTTCTGGACTACAATGCTTCACCGAGGTGGAACATTGTCGCCGAACACTTCGCTGCAACGGGTACACCAGAACCACCCAGCTGGTACCACGAGGAAGTAGTCCGGCAAGCCAGCTGTCCGCTACCGTACACTGCGCTCGCCAGGCACATCATAAGCGGCCCCTAGTGCAAACGCAAAATAGGTCGAAGTTGGTCTCATCGATCCACACCGGTTACCTTCCTTCCAATATCTAATTCATGAGCTGCAAGACGAAGGACCTGCTTCGCGTTCTGTTCTCCAGCGTGTTCATGGACGCAGGAATGGTGTGCAGCTGCATCGTTATCAGTCAAGCATCCGAGTACCTTGAGAAGGCGCTGGTGCTTACTGCAATTCCGAACTCAACCCTCAACTGCAAACGAAGGAGTTCGTGGGTAACGGCAGACTCGTTATCTCACCCAAATCGTCACGAACGTCTACTCTCGTCCTAATTGGTGGGACTCGCTTCTATGGACAGAGAAACACAGGCCTACATGGTGTGTCGGCCGCCGACGCTGCAGAACGTAGGGGCTGAGGCGTCCCACTTGCGCCCCTATGATTAACGGTGCGCACACCAGGTACGTCTGAGGCACTATTGATTGATACATGCAGCTACATCCCTGCGCAAGTGAGCGTCACACGCAAGTGGTTGAATAACGACGTAATTTGTTTGCCCATCAGAGCAACTTTATTGCCGTTCAGGCTAATTCTCTTACCCAAGGGGACAACTTGACTGAGAAATAGTAAATTGCTTGAATTTCGACATCGATTTCGTCTCGACTGACCTCGGACAAACTGTTTCAATATTTCACCAGACGTGAAACAAGCCTCCGCGAAACTTGCCATATCACTCAGGTGAATGGGCATTCGGGTTAACCTAGAGGCGCAAGACATCGACGCCCCACCAGTAGTGTGAAGATGTGAAAAAAACCCACTGTGAGTGACTTACACGTAATTGACTTCGGCCTTTGTCAGCCCTTGACGCTCTTCCTCCGGCAGAGACGAGAGTGGGTCGTTCAGGAGTGGACGGTTAGAGCGAATCTAAGGGATTCAAGAAAAGGGAAATGAAGCGCTCAAACGATTAAAAGTAGGAAATGCCGCTTAAGAATAGCGACTGTGGTTTCACGGCCACAAGCTTTAACAAACAGAATGGTATTGTGACAGCGTCCATCAAAAGTTCTGATGCGACGCGGAGTGCTGAACTATGAAAGCTCAAATATTACGCAGCAATGGTTGTGTGTACTAATTAGTGACTAAGAATAAAGAGGATACTACAGAGGGCAGTGAGAGATGTGTTGGCTAGGAGGCGAAGGACAAGGTATAACATGAAACAACTGCGAAAACAGGCTGTCAATAAAGTATTTTAACATACTGTGATCATTTCTTCGGATTTTGCTTGGGGTTTGGAAAAGGCCACATCACCGTTGTTCGGATTGGCCGAAAGGAAACAATTGTTTGCACCTAACAACGCAGTATTGCCATCCTGAAATACGGGCTCAAAGTGTTCACGAGGACCAATCGCATCCGCAACGGCAATCAACAGCGCATCAGGGTCCGTGGAGACGCCCAGATATTTCCCATAACTAAACGAACAAGGTGTTTGCAAACAATTAAATATAAAAGATTACAAAAAAGTGATGGCAATTCCACAGACATAAAGTTTCGGGAAATGTCTACATTTGAAGGCAGAAGTCAGTATAAACAGATACGTGCGGTATCACTGAACAGAAACAAAATCCGGTAAACAGAATCCCACCTTAGAAGAGGCATGAACGGAAATCATTATCATTGTCATGACACAGTAGCTGGTGAGAAACACACTTCTGCTAACTGTGCCGCGATATAAAAGATAGGATGTATGATAAAGCGAAATACTAAACATTACAGAATACAAAAACTAAGAAGGTAAAGGTAATGCTAACTGTGAAATTATCCATGTAGCGGGAGATCGTTGTTGGAGGGGGAAGCTAAACCGGAAGGAGAGCGACGAAGAAGATTTAATAGGCTACAATTTTTCCATGAGCGTTACAGGGAGGCGCACCGAGCTTCGCCCGCAATCGCCAACCGATAAATTTCGCTCTTTGTTCTAATGATACAGCTTCAGTAGGATGGAATTCTGGCCGCCGAGGACCTCTTCCTGCGACACCGTACCAGTAAATGGATTTCCGAGAGGTCGGTGAACCTTCCGGAATGCAGAAAACTCACTGTTAACTCATTACAATGTAACCCGACGTACTAATAGGCGCGAGTTGAAATGGAGCATGCGTGTTGACAATTAAGTTTTCTGGAAGAGTAGGGTCCAATAAATGGAAGAGGCAGGGACAGTAAGCAATTATGGCAAGCACTCCTAGCTGATCCGCACCAATGGTCCCGGGAAAGCAAGCGCCAGTGAGACAATCAGAGACAATACGGCCATCCGATTTCACAAAAAGCAACACAATCTGACTAATTGGACAGAGCTATTTTGGTGGCAGTTCAGTTGGCCATCTGCTCTTGCTTCGCATCCTGTTCAAATAGCGCAGGCTGAACCATGGCTGGTTAGTTTGGAGGCTCCAATTGACGCTGAGGTCTAAAACGTGATCAAAGCCCTCAATCATTTTCGAGCCGCCCGTCAGGATTCTCTAAAACCATCACTATGCAATGATGGTAATGAGGTCCTCTGCACTGACCTCCATATTCGAACAGTCTTAGAGGGAGTAGACCATCCCAGCTAACCGGATGAAATCCATCATAGTGATAGTATACAAGCAGAGCAGTCGCAGCGCCCGTGACAACCACAAAGGTATTCGCCTCACGTCGGTGGTGGAAAAATTACTGACCACGATTATTGTTCGTCACCTCACTGAGGAACAATAATCCCGGATTAGGGAAGAGGAAGCAGGTTTCTGCTCAGAAAAGAGCTATACAGACCAAATATCTACTCTGCGACAAATGTTAGAGCAGCGTCACGCGTATCGCAGACCGATAATGGCTGCATTCCTAGAATAAAAAATGCGTTGAACTCAGTCAATCGATGTATTTTCTTAAAAACACTAGCGCGGAAAGGTGTTCCCGTGAAGTATGTGAACGTGCTACATACCACGTACTCGAAAACACAGACCGCGCCCCCGCATACAATGAGTTGTTGGAAATCCTTCCAACAACAAGTAACGTTCATCAGGGTTGTCCCATCTGCGGCACCTCCTGGTGAGAAAACCACAAAATTTCGATTACACGTACAACATTGTCTCGCTGTTTAAGGATGTGGTGGCCCAATCAACGTTGAGCAACCTACAAAGGGCGGCGCTATCATAACAAGTGTATCACACCTTCAAAGTACAGTGTTATTGAAGGACCATTAGCCAGTTGATGAGCCCTTGAGCACTGAAAGCAAGGAAAAGGTTATTGACAAATTAACTCACCTGGAAAGCTGTATTAACTTGTGCCCACCCCGAGCCTTGCGCTACCCTATTTATCGCAGACTAAACAAGGCCCTCCTCGGTAAGCGGTGATAAGGCATAGGTAGTATGTGCCCAAGCCAAGGAAACTTATTCAATGCTATCTGTTAGTCTAGAGAAATAGCATGATTATCACCACCTAGTACTCGCTTACGCAAATCAACGTTGCGGACACGCTGGTGCCATCCGACTCCAGCAATGTTCCGCAGGCAGCGTTGATCAAAGACTTGTGAGCGCCTCAGATTCTCAGACAGAATAGGCTTAGTCTCCCTTCCATAGAGCAGGACGTCCCGCACAGTGGCCTTGGTAATACGGCCTATTAGACGGAGAAACTCCTTTCTGTCTCCAAAGATATGGCACATCCAAGAAAGCAGTTCTGGCATTTGCAATGAGTGAACCGACTTCCGTTTCCATGCGCCCATCACTGCTGATGCAGCTGCCAAGATACGTGAATCGATCATGCACTTCGAGTTCCTCGTTAGAAAGGGTCAAGGATTCATGGAGTCGCTGGTGGTCCTGCAGCAACACTTTGCACTTTGAAGGTGCGAAGTGCATATCAAATAATGGGACCACTATAGTAAAGGATTGATTGTGCCGCCCCAACATAGTTAAACAGCAAGAGAATATCGTCCGCATAATCGAGATCAACTAGCCTTTCACCAAGCAGGACCCCAACGCTAGCATCGTGAGGTTCCGCAAGCGAACACTCCATGATAGAATCCACGATGAAATTGAACAAAAACGGGGAAATCAGACAACCCTGACGAACGCCACTTGTGGTCGGAAAGCTATCCGATAGGACACCACAGACCCTGACGCGGCCTGTAGTGTTCGAGTATAGAGCACGAAGGATGTTCACATATTTCGTGGGAACACCTTTTCCGCGCAAGTATTTCGAACAGAATCGATCGATCGACTGAATCGAACGCACTCTTGAAATCGAGGAACACAGCTATTGTTGGTCTGCGGTATGCGTGGCGCTGCTCTAGCACCTGCCGCAAAGTGAATATATGGTCTATACAGCCACGTCCTGGGCGGAAACCGGCCTGCTCTTCCCTAATCCGAGATTCTCGGTCCACAAAGAGGCGACGAACGAGAATCGAGGCCAGTAATTTTGTCACAACTGGCGGTAGGCTTATACCCTTGTGGTTAGAATAGTCTGTACGACTGCCCTTCTTGTAGACTGCCACTATAATCGATCCACTCCAATTAGCCGGGACTCTCCTTCTTCCAGACATGTGCGAACAGGAAGCAGCATCAGTGTATATATCCAAACAGCGACTGGTGAAATTCATTACCATTCGCTCACCTGTTGCTTACATCAGGTTTGAGTAATACTACTCGGGTAACAACAATCACAGTTGATTAGTTCCCCAATTACTTAGGCGCGAAGTGGACATTTGTCTGATTCTTACAGTATCACTGGCCGCACCGTATCGTTGCACATTGTGTCCTTCGACGACAGGATGACATACACCTGTCTCCGTAGATGACTAAGACTCTGGAAAGCCATAAGGATTTTGCAGATACTGCAGTAGTCTCCTCAGCTATGCGACCAACAGAGGTGACACAGCCACCGAGACAAGTGAACAAGCCGACCATTTCCAGTGGCGATCCGGTGGCAGCTATCATTGGGGACGTGTCGGTTCAACGCGGCAACAATGACAATTTAAGGTGTGAAGTATACGCTGAAGTGCGCAGTGTTACGTATTCAAAAGCGTTGCATAGGTGATGGATCCGACCCAATGAAAGCGATGTCCTCTGCAGGTTTCAGGGTTGTCTGTTGGCCACATGGTTGAAACTACACTTCAGAAGAGACGCAAAGAATAATGATCACAAGATTGAGGAGGAAAGCGTAAACCGGAAAGCCCTAGCACACTCCAATCGTCAGGGGAAAATCCGTAGATAGCATTTCATTGACGCGTACGTGGTCTCGGGAAACAGGTTAGGGGCCTTAGAGAAGAAACAATTTTCCTTGGAGTGAAATTCAAGAATAGGCGACACCGCAAACTGTACGACCGGCTGAGTCAATGAAAGTTTTCAACGCAATGAGAATCATCACTGTGGGCAGAAATTCAATTAGTTTGCGAACGACAACCTCTTTCTTTGTGTGGAATGCTAGACGCCAATACGATGCCAACGGTCTGCCCAACCCCCCAAAGTACGGAGATCGCACTTCCATCAACAAACCGATCGCCTCGAAGTGCAGGTAGCACACAATGGCAGATGAAAAATCCACGCAGCCGGAAGTTCAAAGCTTACTGAGGAGAGGATAACCAAGCCATGGATATCGCTCTGGTGGGTTTAAATCCTAGTAAATACAACCGAGCAATAAACGACAAGTGCGCGTACATCAAAATCGAATTGCAATGTTATATGCTCAACTTGACACCAACCCTCTATTTATAATTGACAGTATTATCAACATAATGTCTCACCTATCGGTGTATGGCAATCTGGACCTGAAGTGCGCACAATTCCAAATACCTAATAAGCGAGCAAAGAAACATTCCTTGCGTTTAAAGCGTACGTGGGAAACGTTTTCGAAATTCCTGTATAGCCTTCTATGCAACCAAAGTGGTTGACCGTAGCAAAAAGTATCTTGGCTAGAGAAAAAAACGGGTAAATACTTGTATGCGAGTCTCTCTTACGTCCATAACATCTATGTATGTGGATCAACCGAAGAAGAGAAAGAACTCTAGTCCAACAGAAATCCAATCGTTCAGAAGCACGAGATAACATACAAGAAAAGTGGTTACTCGTTCTAGAAAAAACAACTGTAACGATTTGAAGTTTCCATGAGGCAACTCGACAGGACGCACAACGGCTTCAACCACTAAGAAGCTTACGATACACGCCGAATTCAAGCCATATGTCGTAAAACGCTTGAGACAGTGAACCTAAGGAATCGCACGCTTCGGAGATAAATTCACTAGATAGCTGACAATGTCCCCTTTTCTCTAGACATACTGGTTCGGGAACCATTCGGAGGCATTAATACGGTACAAGTTTGCTGCCACTTCTACTGATGATTCCATATCCCCAATCACAGAAAGAGCTGGCTTCTATGTAGGTAGTACAACATTATCACAAAACAGGCGATCAACCCTCTTCTAATGAACCCTCGCCGCCTGGCAAAGAGCACTGTCTAACTGCCAAAAAGAAGTCATATTTCACTGCTGAATTACCGAAGTGGCGACGCTACCGTATAGACAACCGCTTAATTGCTATCACTGGTCAGTGATCTGTCTCATCCAGGTTCTAACTCGGATAAGAAACGATCGAATTCAACGCTGGTGTCTCGAACTTCCATAATACATGGATGTTGATAAAGAACCGATAACGCAGTTGGTGAGATTTTGTCGTGTACATGAAACGCATCGCGGCTACTTGAAACGAAACCATATGAAATACCGTGCCACTTCAGAGCAACCAAAGTGGAACAGGATACAAAACGAAATGGAGCATTGATGTTACGGAGCAATGGGCACACTCGCCAAGGTGATGCACACTTTCGCACGACTACACGTAGATTGTAATGGGTTTATGCCACTAATAAATAACAAACCGATGTGACCAGTATGGTAAACAAGCATCGACTTCCATGCAGGTTTGCATACAGTGAAGTGATGGATGCAAGTATGGTTAGCTGTTTAATCCAAATGATGAGCCTTCAATGTACCGCTGTTCAAGTATCAGAAGGTACAGATTTTCCTAATTCAGAAAGGCATGGTAATGAACCGGGCAGCGCCATACCACCTATAAATGGAGAGTAATCAAGGATCCAATGGGAGGGGATGCATTACCTGATGCGTAATATTCTATGCATTTCTTGCTCTGCACTATTATAAACGTCAACGTCGAGTTGGTCGACCGGCCGTACAGAAAAAATGCACTTAATAGTTGCAAAGAAAAGACACCAAAGTGTGACCCGTTGATCAATGAAGCAGAGCGAGTGCACTAAAAAGCACAGTACACTCACATTCATTACCAAGAGAGAGAAGATACGGTTTAAATGCGTAATTTGGTGTATTTGAGACAGCGTCAACCCAGTTCCCTTTTCAATAACATTTTCAATGGGTCAACCATACATACAATGGACATCCAGGTGTCCAAGACTGACTGCTTTTGTATAGATAACTCTTCTCACATACGTGCGTGCGTGCGTACAACTTGCATAACCATGAGACACTCCCCCAGAGTGTACTGTCATGGAGTCGCAACGGGTTACGTGTGAGATGGAGAGACACTGAGGGACGTTCAAAACCCTGTGAGAGTAGGAAATTGGACCCTATCTGTAAAGGTTGCAAGTTATATGCTTACGACAACCATGTTATGAATAGCGGCTACAAGGCACACGTTCATTTACACATCCGTTAAGATCGGGTAGAATGACAGCTGACTTCTAAGCCTTCGTCTATCTTCCTGCACTTCATGTGTTGCATTTCAACGCCCTACGTGCGTGGCGTCATGAATTAGGTTTATGTGGCAGAGTTCCTGATCGCTCTATTCGGTGTTATTGCGTCGCCTTAGCTGCACACTTTATGTAAGAGCGGAACACTGAAAAAATAATCCGTCTGCTAAAGTAGTCGATGATTCGACCGAAAACGCTAGTGGTTAGATTGGCGCGGCGATTCAACTTTACCAAAGTAGCCCATGGCCAGTTAAAATATATAAATGGCATTAAAAAGGAAACACAGCTGTAAAGGTCGGTAGCCAAATTGGAGTTAACAATAACGATGCAAGAGCTCACCCAGATTTAAACGCCACCTTTGTGTCTGAAAGCTTGATTGCGGTAAATATCTCATCTGGAGCTGGAGGCTCCCCAACACCTCTGGGTGGACCCACACTGAATAATCCATCATCGCCAGCAAATAAGTAGCAAGCGGTTGCGTTTTCAGTATTTGGGAACTCGTCAGCAACGCTACAATTAGATGAATTTGTCAGCTGGGGTTGCACGGTCGACCAGTCGTTGAATTGGATCGCGACCGAATCACTAATATCGGCAAACGAAGATATGCCCCACCAACCGCCATGAAGAGTCGCATCAACGATTCGTTTGTCAGATGTCTGTCTGTGTTCAGAAGCACCATGTTTGCTACGTCTTTTATGCTTCCGTTTGTCACTTTTAAATTTCAATTTCCCCGTACGAACAAATGAGTAACTATCCATACTGAATGATGGAAAAATGAAAAAAGATAAGTTGGCGGACACAAACACATGCTGATGCAACGCTCACTTATGGCGGTAAGATGTAGATGCCGTAAGCCGAAATGTCATCGTCCACAAAGTAAGTAACGCGCCAGGAGAGCATTTTAAACTATGCGTAACTGAGCGATTCACAGGCAAATGTTAGAAAGCGAAAAGACTACAAGTCTATCAAGAGCTCGTTACAAAACCAGTGAGCCCCAAAGCTAACTCAACATGGGGGACGAAAAATTCATCTCCTGTAGTTCATTCAGACGCAAAGTAAACAAGAGAGAAACAAAAGCTGACCGCTGAGGGAACAGAGAGCAGAAAAGAAACTTCGGCATTTACCCGAAGATAAAATTGAACAGCATCGGCAAAAGAAACCATGTAAGACGAGTTGGAAGCTTTTCTTCTGATTGTACAGAATTCAACATCATAAGTATGGACTGAAAACGCACTTGAATGATAGAACTTTGCGGTCGCTAGCACTTGAATGTGAATCATAAACAACGTATCTTATAAAGTCAACGGACTGCGAGTACTGCATACATGAGAGGCGAGTCAAGACGCGTCATAGACATGGTGGGCCGCTTCACAAATTGGAGCCGGGGTGCATGCAAACCTAGGATAGAAAAAAGCGTCGGGAGTTGTAAGCTGTCAAGACTACATCCCGCCACCGCATTCGTAGTTAGTTGCACTTGGCAGGTAGAAGTGACGGCAATGCAACTCTAACCGGGGACGATGGGACTATCGGCTAAAGCCTTCACCCATAAATCATCCAAGAAATCTCGCACTAATCAACTTCAGGAAGAATGAAGCCAAACATTGCTGGAAATCTATGCGTGGTACGAATGGGAATGAAACTGATGAAATCAGTCTTAGATATGAAGAACTCCCGTACCAGGTCACGGCGCGGTGGTTGATCGAGCTTCTGGAACCTATTCGAAAACGAGTTGCTGTGCACAGCCTTAAGGACAGTTTTGATTTCGTGGATACCGTGCGCGATCTAAATGTCACGTATATGACCATATGCACTCACAATGTGACTTCGCTCTTTAAAAATGTACCGTTATTTAAAACTATACATTACATCTGATTAAGTGGAAGAAAACCAGGTAGCTGTAGGCATCATTCATTCATTCATTCATTATACACATCAGCTAGAGGTGGGAAAACACCTCTGCTATTGTGCCGCAATACATGAAAGAAATACATACATACATACATATAATACAATACACAAAGGAAAAATAGATACAACAGTTGCATGCCAGCTGAGCTACCAGCAACGGATAGGCATCGTTCCGGTAAGCTTCCAGCCAGCTACTAGGCAAAAAGAAAATTTTTTTATTATGTTTTACCCTAGGAAATGAGATCGTAGATGGAGGGGGAGACTAAAAGGGATGGGGAGGGACAAAGAAACTCACAGCACGAACGCCACTGAGGTCGGCTCCTTGCCATGTCAGCAAGTGTATCCAGCCAAACGTGTTCACCGTCTTTTGGACCCCAACCAGGGAGCCGTGAAGCTCCAACCGAGGCTAGCTCCGAAGTGATGGACTTCATTCCTCTGGACCAAGTCATCGCTTGGCCACCTCTCCTCTTCTTCCACCCACATCCCCGGTGAGCAAACAACGCACGTCGCGGGAGTCGGTGGGCTGGCATGCGTAACACGTGGCCGAGCCATCGGAGCCTGGTGCGGAAATAACGGTGCTGAGCGGTTCAGTTCCTTTTCCTGGGCCGTAAACAATGCGTCGAACACGCTCGTTACTCACGCGGTGTTCCCACCATATGTGAGCCAAACTGCGAAGGCACCGATGGTCGAACGTAGCTAGCCTCTTCAAGTCCGCCGACCTTAGGGGCCAGGTTTCGCAACCGTACAGTAAGGTCGAACGTACCGCTGCATTGTACACTCTACCCTTCAGGGCGAGAGTGATGTCGCGCCGCCGCCATAGGTGGCGAAGGTTAGCAAAAGCACTTCGAGCTTTCGCTATACGGTTCGTGATCTCGTCTTCGATCCCAAGGGCGCTGATACAACTTCCCAGGTAATTGAATTTTTGAACGACTTCTAGCTGATCCCCACCAAGGGTCAGCGCAGGAGGCGATCCCTACCAATCTTGGAGGAACGCTTTGCATTTCGATGGTGCAAAGCAAAGCCCGAAGCGGCTGACAGCCAGTGCTAATCTGTCCAGCGCGGCTTGGCACGTCTGGGAGCTGTCACAGATGAGGACAATGTCGTCTGCATACTCTAAGTCAAGAAGTCGTTCTCCTGGGAGTAGCTCCACACCTTCCAAGTCATGTCCTGTAAATGCAAACTCCATGACTTCGTCAATAGCGAAGTTGAAGAGGAAAGGTGACAGCGGGCATCCTTGTCTCACACCGCTGGAGATATTAAAGGGTGGCGACAGCTTGCCGTAAGCCCTCACTCTGCCCGTGCTACGCGCATATAATGCTTGGATAATATTTACATATTTCTCGGACACACCTTTCCTGAGTAAACAATTCCAAAGGGCACATCGATCAACCGAATCGAAGGCACCTTTGATGTCGAGGAACACGACAACGGTGGGCCGCCAATATGTGTGACGGTGCTCCAACAACTGACGCAAGGTGAAGATGTGGTCGATGCAGCCACGACCCCGACGAAACCCGGCTTGCTCCTCACGAATCTGGCTTTCACGAGCGCCAGTCAGTCTGTGAAGGATTATGGAGGCGAGTAATTTGGAGGCGATGGAGATCAGACTGATTCCTCTATGGTTGCCGCATTCCGAGCGCGAGCCGCCTTTGAAGATGGGAACAATAACGGAGCGGCTCCAGTCGGTTGGGACAGTCTCCTGCTCCCACAGTTTCACTAGTAATTCATGTAAAGCATCAACAAGAGCAAGCCTCCGAATTTGAAGAGGGCTGGAGGAAGATCATCTGGTCCCGCGGCTTTGTTCAACTTCAACAGTCCGATCTCACGTTCGACTTCTGAGCGAGAGGGTGGATCCAAAGGGACAGCCCACGGAGCAGGGCGATCACTCGCCGGCGAAGAATCGAACAATTCTAGCCGAATAAATTGCTTTTCAAAATGCTCAGCCCAACGCTCCAAACGTTTTGACAAATTGTGAATAGGCTGTCCACTCTCATCACAAATTGTTTCACTAACACCAGGCCTCCTGCTGCCCGTTTCCCGTATCAGACGGAATAACTCACGATGGTTACCAAGGGCAGCGGCTACTTCCATCTCTGACGCACGATGAGACCACCAAGATTCGCGGTCTCTCTTCAGGCTAGCGCGGAGTTTTGCCCGGAGCTCTTTGCGAGTTTCATTGTGCTCGCTTCCAGCCGGAATATGCCGGCGAGCGTCGATAAGTTCCAGAGACCGAGAAGAGACCCAATGTCCATGTTGTCTATTAGACATACCACATGAGGATTTGCCTGCTGCTAGTAAGGTCTGGCGAACATGTGACCAGTGACCATCAATTGTCTCCAGTGAGCGCTTACCCAACTCGCATGTCAGCGTACTTTGATACGCATTCAGAACAGCTGGCTTTGTCAGTTGGCTGGTGTCAATGCGCTCACAACATCGTCGTGGGCGTCCGCCAAAGCGCATCCGCATGTCAGCACATACAAGTGCATAATCGGTGTCCACACATGTGCTCCAAATCGAGCGACAATTCTGGATGCAGCCTCTCCAGCGGTAACTTATCGCAATGTGATCGATCTGCGTCCAAGGCTGGTTCGAGGCTGGTGGGCGCCAAGTCACCCTTCGGCGGGTGCTGTGTCGGAAATTAGTGCTCGCAAGAAATAAGCGAGCATCTTCACACAAATGAAGTAACCGCTCACCGTTATCATCACGGGAGCCTACACCGTGCTGACCGCCCAGATGCATTTCATCAGTGGACAACTTTCCAACTTGTGCGTTCATATCCCCCGCCAGCACTACAGTGTCCGTGCTTCTTCTGTGGCGAAGGAGCTGAGTCAGTTGGCGGTAGAAGTCGTTCTTTACCGAATCATCGCTACAGTTTGTGGGCGCGTAGGCAGCGATGATGAATAGACACCTATTAGTCCCGCGCGACTTCGAAGTTTGAACGAGCCAGCCAATCGGACCGCACACATCCGGCTACTGATTGGAATCCAATCAACCAGCGCAGCTTCAACCCGGGAACTCAGGGCAATGCCAACATCAGCTTGGCCGGTGCTCGAAGCTGCATCGCCACCGGATAGGCGCACTGAGAAAATACTGCTTGCGTCACCTGAAGGGGATCGCAGAGTGAGCACAGAGCTGGAGTCTTGCAGGCGGATCTCTGATAAGCAGCAGATATCGATCGAGAGGGTCACTAATGTTCGGACAAGTACTGCCTGTTGACCGATCTGTAATAATAATAATAATAATAATAATAATAATAATAATAATGTGTCAGCTGTACGCCGTAACGGCGCTTCGCTGCCGCGCGACCCCCACCAGTCGCGCGCGGGCTGAGTATACCGCGAGGACGCCCACCCCTACGCGGATACGAACCGGTGACCTTATGGTTGCAAAGCAAACGTGCAGACCACTCGGCCGCCGGCCGATCTGTAGTAGTGTGCGTACGTTAAGGCATGCCAATCTGAAGGAGGATTGAGGGCTACAAATGGAAGCCGATGAACTGGAATGGACCGCTTGGTTGGACATGGGCTTGTGGACAAAAGAAGTGTGACGCTCCGCGTTCACATGTGAGTTGAAAATAGAAATGCCTAGCAAAGCATGTTGGGGGAGGGCCAAGAATCGGGGGGTTGAAAACTGGGGGGATATAAGTGAAGTTGGAAGGGGACGGTAAGAGTGAAAAAGCGTAAGATGGGGAATAAGAAGACGGGAAGGCTTGAGCAGTAGCATCCAAACCCCTATCCACCCTGCTCGATGCAGCAGATAGGGCACTTTTAATCTACAATTTCTGTTTAACGGTGAATTGCATCGACAGCATCAAGGAGTTGCTATGGACTCTCCACTAGGATCGTTACTCG